TATAAAAATTTTCATTTACACTAATAGAATATGTTGTAAAATATTTTAATTTGTTACTTTTATCCAAATATCAACAAACTTATATATATATATATAAACAATGTTAAAATTCAATAAAATTGAATTAGAATAATAAATTTTTAATAATGAATCATAATGTAACGGCAAGTTTCAACTTAATCTTAATTAATATCATAATTTTAGGGTAAAAATAAAAGAAATCTCACATATGTTAAATTTGAGGTAAGATAGGCACATATAAATATAAAAAGGATTTTTTTTGCATCTATTGCTACTAATTGATTTTTTTTGTCAATAATTAATTTTGGATTGAATGCTCATCCAAAAATTTAACAAAATGAAACTAATTATTATTATAAAATGCTAAGGAAATTAAATTTTTGTTAAAAGTGTTACCTCTTTAACCCCATTAGGGTATTTTAGTAAATAGTACGGGTTATTTTTTGTACCAAATTAAAAAAAAAAAAAAAAGAAAAGAAAACCCTTGGATTAGTAGTGATTAGTTGTGCCTACAGTTTTTTTAATATTTTCTTTTTCAAAGTTTTGATCTAAAATTTCTCTTTACAATGTTCTGTTGAGAATACATGCCAATTTTTTTTTTAACTGGATACACGTCTTCATAGATTTTCTATAGCAATGAATATTCACCACAGTCATAGCTAGTCGTCATAAATTTTAAAGTCAATATAAATCTTCACCCTCATCGCATAGAATAATTGTCTTAAAAATATATTTGCCAATTATTTATAATTAATTTTCACTAAAAACAAGAAAAAAAAAAACCAAAATATTCCAAAAACTAAAATGAACATCTAGTTCCACTAAAACATAAATTAATGGCCGAAAAAGGGAATGAAAAGATCAAAAGGACAAAGTCAAGAGAAAATACCCTTTAAATTCTGTAAACCAAACCAAATGGAAAAAAAAATAAATATCTTTTCCCACTTTTTCTAATTTCGCTTCCTCTTTAACAAAGGGATGGGGATCATAATCTATTTCAATCATGGTTTTTCCTTATATAGAATGGCTGATCGTGCTGGACTATCACCGTCCCACGCGGCTCACCATTTTAAAATCCTCCCGCAATGAATTAAAACCAAACCTACGCGCGCGTGACATTAATGCGTCCTCCACCTCCTTCGGGTCGGTGATCACGTGCATCACGTTTACTGTTTAGTTTGCTTATAGAAGGCAAGTTGGATATATTCACTAATCTTGACCATACGTACTATGGAAAACAGTCAGACTTGGCTTCCTCTGCATCCGTACGATTTGGTATGGAATTTCAAGGCCACGGTTGGACTATTAATTTTTAGCAAATTATATTCGTGATCTAAGGTATATTGATAAAAAAAATAGGTCAATTGATATGATGACTAAATAAATATGTGTTAATATTTTAATTTCATTTGTAAAATTAAAATAAAAAATCCTAAAATTCTATCATTTTATTTAGACACTCAAAATAAACACTTAGTTTTTAATTTATACTTAAATAAATTTTTAATTTTTAATTTATATGTAAATAAACTCTTAATATAAATTAATTTTTCATTTAAAATAAGTATTTATTTGAATACAAATCAAACAATAAGATCTTATTTAAGAACAATAAAAGTATAGCAATTTATTTTTAAAATTTGAAATAATTCAAGAGTTCTTTTAGTAATTTAGTCAAATAATAGCCATGCATGTTTGTTTAGTTTATTTTTCATTTTACATATGTGAATCTGATCAAGTAAAATATGTATCTAATCTTAGATTGAATCCAGAAAATTTGTAATCAATTATTTTTTTTTGAAAAAGGATTTACACAGACACGTTTTAAATAAAAAAAATGAAGATAAGAACTTTAGAATTTTTTTTGGAACTAAACAAGATGGTTACTTTGTTACAAATTATCAAAGGCAATGAAATTGAAATATTTTGTTATACTATTTTTGCCCTTCCAAAATTTTTTCGGTGACTAAGCTTAAATTGCATTCTTTAAATCAAATAAAATATAAATTACAAAACCCTGGATTTTTTATAAATAAAACCCTCTGTTATTGAATATAATATAGAGTATAATTATTAATTGATTATTTACAAATGGAAATTTAGAAATATATTGAATAATTATATTTATTTTCGTCAACTCAAAATATTCTTCGTGCATTGAATCTATCCATAAATTGAGAACTTTGTTTAAGACAAAGGACATCCTCTTTTAAAGATGAATATTTGACTATTTATTAGTCTTTGTCGATGGTAGTAGAATATGTCAACTTGTGTGACATGAATTTTGCTTAAGGATTTTATTTGCAATGTAATTACTATTACTAATAGAATTAAGTTTGGCAAATCATAAGTGCTAAAGAATTTGTAATATAACTCAATTGTTTATGCCGTTATTAATTTTTAAGAGATAATAATCAATAAATTTAAAATTTAAAGTTCAATATCATAATTTTTTATATAAAAAAATCATAAATGTTTAAGGCTTAATTACTAAACACAAAAGGTCCATTAACACTACTTTAAAAACCCACGTAAGCACTCTCTCTTCCCCTTTAAAAAAAGTTAAGATGTTATTTATGTCGTACGCCTAATTATTATAGACCTTGTTTGTCTACTAGCATGTAATTGAAATATCTAGTAATATTAAATTTGAGATTTAATTTAATTATTTTATGTAATTATTTTTAAAAAATAATATTTAATAAATTTAAATTTTAAAAATTTTTTATCTGTTGAATAGTGACAAACTTTTTATAAAAAATCAAATAACACTCTAGTTAGTTTTATTTTTTAAAATTATATAAAGAATTTTTATGAAGATTAATAGAGAAACTATTGTGCTTCATAGTTCATAATAATTCAATTCAATAAACACAAATTTATCTTCTTTCTCATTTTTTAAAGTATAATATTTAAAGCCTTTAATCATCAAATCTTATTCTAAAAAAAAAAAAAAAAAAAAAAAACTATTGATAGGTCAAATTTAAGTTGGTTTAATTGATCAAAAACTTATTTGTAAAATTATCACAATGGCAAAGAACCATTTTTGAGATGAATCAATGTTCTTTATTAATTGCATAAAGGAGAACATGTATTCATAATTTAAATGAACATGGCACTAAGAACCATACACATTCTAATTTTTATCCTTACTTTATAGCAAAACTCATTTTGTGATCTTTAATTAATTATCATAATCTTAAAGAAAAACTATCATGGATGTGCATGTGGCATTAAGTTAATTTTTATAAATTCATCAAATAATAAATACACATTATTTTTTAACGTGACGAAATTTATCATATTCTTTAAAGAGATATAATCATTTTAAGCCCTTCAATCTTTGAGGAGATATTGCAATAAATAGAGTCTAAGACTTTGTCTTAGAGCTTGTAAGTTTGAATCTTGAAAAGATGAGGTAAGATTATAATGGCAGAATTAAGGGTGTAAATGATATATTAATACTCACAAGCTATTCGAGTTTGATTCGAAAAAAATTCAAATTTAATTCGATTATTATCGAGTCGAGCTCGAGCTCGAGAAGCTCGACTTATCGATCAAATTGAATTCGAATATTCTTATATCCGATTCGAATAGTTCGTGAGTCTAATCGAATTTTTATATTTAAATATATTTTTATTATTTTAATTAATAAAATATTTCGAGTCTGAGTTCGAGCATGAATAATCGAATTCTTGTTGAGTATATGAATTGAGCTTATTTTTATATATTAATTGAGCTTAATCGAGCAAGTTAGAGTAACTCGAATTCGATCACGAATCGAGCTCGAATTTAAAAAATAAAACTTGATCGAGTTCGAATCGAATATCGAATCTCGAGTTATAGTTCGAGCTCGAACTTCTCACTATTCAACTCGACTAACCCGCGTGCCTCGTATTGAAAACAAAACAAAGGTTATTGTGACACCAAACATACAATTAAAAAAATAAAAAATAAAATAGTTTTACTTACTAGGTGGAATAGGATTAGGAAAGTTAGACTGAATTACAAGAAAAATAAATAAAGCCATCAAAAGTTGTTGTAAATCGGTAGAGTGAGTTAAAATTGAATATTTTATTTATAAATTTTAATTTAATTTTCATCATTAATAATTATTTTTTATGAATGATATATAAATTAAATATAAATTCTTTTTTAAACGCATCATTTATTCTTAAAGGTATTTGATTCATGGATTTTAATTTTTCTCTCATAATATAATTTTTCATTATCTCAATCTTTGGTTTGATTCAGAAACTTTCTCAATATAAAAAATTTTATAATTTCAACGAGAAGAAAAAAATAAGAGAATAAAAAACTTTCCTTGTACTTTTAGATTTTTGAAGGAAAATGAAATTTTTACTTATTTGTTATCACTTATACATTTTCAAATTATATAGACAATATTATTTACATTAGAAATATAATAATTTTATATGTTGTTTTTTATTTAATTTTCAAAATTCAATAAAAATAGTATTTTTAAAATAAAAATATAGTTTTTTAAAAATATAAAAAAATAAATTTTTAAAATTCAACATATTTTTAAAATAAAAATATAATTTTTGTTAAAAATATAAAAAATTATATTATAATAAAATTTTATTATCATATATGTTATATGCGCAATAAAATTTAAAATATTTAAATAATTTAATAAAAATATTAAATAAATAATTTATATGTTAAATAAATACAATTTTATATAAAATTATTTATTCAAATATTATGATGTCAGTGACTTGTCATAAAAAATAATAAAAATTTTTTTAAAACAATTATATATATTTTTAACCAAACACAAAATTTTTATTTTTTAAAATCAACAAAACTCAAAAATTATATATTTTTCTTTAATATTTTTTTTTCTCGAATTACTTTCTCTTCTAAATTCTAAAAATCTGCAAATCAAACTCTCGTTACCGTGAAATACGAAATCTCCTTCACCTTAATTTTTTAAAACAAAAATAAAATCATTAAAAAAAAAAAAAAGGAAAGTGAAAGAAAGAGGAGAAAGAGAGAAAATAAAACAAATCTTTTTGTGTATGACGAGGACGTTTTGATTCAAAAGAGCGTCCAAGTTCTCTTCATGTAAGAAGGTAGGTCCCATCTTTTTCCCTCTCTTCTTCTTCCTCTTCTTTCTCTCTCTTCTTTTTCTTTTCAGCTTCTTACAAAAACAACGGCGCTAACCTACATATATACATTTCCCTTTTCCTCTCTTAAAACCAAAACCTCTCTCATTCATTTCGTCTAAAAAAAACTGCCGTTTTTGGTATTGGGGTTTTTGGGTTCTTTGGAGTTCTGCTTCTTTGCTTTTGTTTGAAGTTTGAAAGAAAACCGAAAAAAAATATTAAAAAAAGTAAGCAGGTTGTTTGCTATGTAAAGGAAAGCTTTGAAGGAGGAAAAAGAGAAGAGGACAAGACTAAAACCTGACTCAGAACTAAGAAAACAGCTTGTTTTGCCTTTTCTTCTTGATTTTGTTTTTGTTTTAGTGGTTTATAAAAGAAACCGGAAGCTTTTTGGAATAATTAAAAAAAAAAAACACATCTTTTGTTTTTCTTCTTTGGTTTTGGTGCTGGGTTCTTTGAACCTATCAAATGGCCCGCGAGTGATTGAATTGGAATGCTATATACTTGAGCTTGGAGTCATCAAAAATATGTCTTTGGCTTTGCATGTGATAGAAACTCTAAAGATCTGAAGGTGGTTTGTTTTGCTGGCTTCTGGTTTCGGGTAAGTTTTCTTTGGTTTTTAAATTCTGGGTTTTTTTTTTTTTTGGGGGGGGGGGGGTTTGATTTAGAGTCCGCATTTCTGGGATTATCAGAAGAAATGGGTTGGTTTCTGTTTTTCATATTTGTTGTTATTTTGTTTATTGGTTTCTGGGTTATATTGTTTTAATTTTTTTTTTTATTGTGTGGGGCTGCTCTGCTAAAGCTTATTCCTTTTTTTTCTTTTTCCCTTTCTTGGTTAAATGAACTATAAAAAATTCTATGTATTTCTTTTAAGTGAAGAAAACGTTGTGTTCTTCTGTTACTGTACTATTTGATAATTCATATGATAAAAACTAATAAAAATATGAAATTTGAGGTTGAGAATCAGAAAAAGATTTTGGTATTAAATTATTTTGACCAACGATTTTGTTTTCATTTTACCTAATTCTGGGATGTACAGTGTGTTAGATCTTAATTCCATGCTATGAAATTTCATATTTTGGTTTGTTTTTAATGTTTTTCTTCAGTATTGAGTTGTGTTTCCATTACAGGCAATGAGAATTGAAGCTTGGAATTATAAGGTTGCAGCTCTAGTGAAATGTGTTTCAGATAGAGGATTAAAGTTTTTGGAAATGACTGAAAAGGTCTATCAATAAATGGATTGAATGAAAGGGTAACGGTCCACTTGGATGCAATGTTAAAAACATTAGCTCCTGGGCTGTTGATTTCTTCACTTCTAATTTCTGTATCGGCGGCAGATAATGGCTTTCCGAGGTGTAATTGTGATGATGAAGGGAGTTTTTGGAGCATTGAGAGCATCTTAGAGACTCAAAGAGTGAGTGATTTCTTGATTGCTGTGGCATATTTCTCGATCCCTATTGAGCTGCTTTACTTTGTTAGCTGCTCAAACGTGCCATTCAAATGGGTCCTTTTTGAGTTCATTGCCTTCATTGTGCTATGTGGATTGACCCATTTGCTCAATGGATGGACCTATGGTCCCCATCCTTTTCAACTCATGTTGGCTCTCACTGTTTTCAAGATGCTCACTGCTTTGGTCTCATGTGCCACTGCTATTACGCTTATCACGCTCATTCCATTGCTTCTCAAAGTCAAAGTGAGAGAATTTATGCTGAAGAAAAAGGCTTGGGACCTTGGGCGGGAAGTTGGTATTATAATGAAACAGAAGGAGACTGGTTTGCATGTCCGCATGCTTACTCAAGAAATTCGTAAATCATTGGATAGGCATACCATTTTGTACACAACAATGGTAGAGTTGTCCAAGACATTAGGTTTGCAAAATTGTGCTGTTTGGATGCCTAATGAGATCAAGACAGAGATGAATCTGACTCATGAACTCAAAGGAAGGAACTATTCATATAATTTTACCATTCCCATTACTGATCCAGATGTTGTAAGGATTAAAGGAAGTGATGGAGTTAATATCCTTAAGCCAGACTCAGCACTTGCTGCTGCTAGCAATGGAGAGTATGGTGAACCAGGACCAGTGGCTGCAATTCGGATGCCGATGCTTCGTGTATCCAATTTTAAAGGTGGAACTCCTGAACTAGTTCAGACATGCTATGCAATATTGGTTTGTGTTCTTCCTAGTGAACAACATAGATCATGGAGCAACCAGGAGCTAGAGATAGTTAAGGTGGTTGCTGATCAGGTGGCTGTTGCAGTCTCTCATGCTGCAGTTCTTGAAGAGTCCCAACTCATGAGGGAGAAATTGGCTGAGCAAAACCGGGCTTTACAACTGGCACGACAGAATGCTATGAGGGCAAGCCAAGCTAGAAATGCATTTCAGAAGGTAATGAGTGATGGAATGAGGAGGCCTATGCACTCGATTTTAGGCCTGCTTTCAATGATGCAGGATGGAAATTTGAATAATGATCAAAGAATTATTGTTGATTCGATGATGAAGTCCAGCAATGTTCTATCCACCTTGATAAACGATGTGATGGATATTTCAACAATGGGTGGTGGAAGATCACCATTGGAGAAGAGATCTCTTCGATTACATTCCATGATAAAAGAAGCAGCATGCCTTGCCAAATGCTTGTGTGTTTATAGGGGTTTTGGTTTTTCAATTGAGGTTGAGAAGTCCTTGCCTGATCTTGTTTATGGTGATGAAAGGAGAGTGTTTCAAGTGATACTGCATATGGTTGGGAGCCTATTGGATGGCAATAGTGGAGGGGGAACTGTAGTACTTCGGGTGTTCTCAGAGAGTGGTAGTCAGGAACGGAATGATCAGAGATGGGCAGCCTGGAGAAACAGCTCTTCTGATGGAGATGTACATATCAAGTTTGAAATTAGGATTGACAATAGCAATTCTCAATCAGAGGGCTGTTCAATGTCGGAGGTGCAGATCAGTGGAAGAAGATACAACAGCCATGGTGCTGAGGAACACTTGAGCTTCAGCATTTGCCAAAAGCTAGTGCAGGTAGGAATAGTAAATTGTCTGCCGAGAGACAGATTAAGCAAGTAATAGAGTACTAAAAACATATAAAATCTGCAGCATGGTAGGACATTAAGTAGGATAAGGAGTTTTTTATCACCTAATGAATGGCTGATGAAAAATCCTGCATCTGGTTTTGTGTCATTATCTAATTGCACGGTTTGTCTTATAATGCTCCTTGTCCTATATAAGGCCAAGGATTTGGTTGCTCGGATTCATTCTGAAACCATTGCAGAGTTTTCCTTTTAGAACTTTTTACTCATGGGTTGACAGTTTCTATGAGGAAGTGCCTAAGCTAGAAGCGTTAATTGACTGAAAATTTAGTGTTGACACATTGAATGGTGCTATAAACATATCATAATAATCTTTCTTCACTTTTTAAATCTTTTTTATACAGCTTCCCGATTAATTTATTTCTGATGATCTCAACAAAATTTGCAGATGATGCATGGGAACATCTGGGTAGTAAAAAATCCTCTAGGTTCTGCTCAAAGCATGGCATTTGTTATTCGGTTTCAAGTCCGATCATCCATCAGTATAACAATAACTGACTCTGGAGAATCTTCAGACCAGCCATGCTCCAACTCTCTTTTCAGAGGCTTGCAAGTTTTACTTGCTGATGATGATGATGTGAACCGTGCTGTGACTCGAAAGCTTCTTGAGAAGTTAGGATGCATTGTTACTGCTGTGTCATCTGGATTTGATTGCCTCAATGCTATTATTGGTTCAGCCCCATCTCCATTCCAGATTGTTATTTTGGAGCTTCAGATGCCCGATTTGGATGGATTTGATGTTGCAATGAGAATTCGGAAGTTCCGAAGTCGTAGTTGGCTATTGATTGTTTTCATGACTGCTAGTGTCTATGAAGATATCAGGGAAAAATGTAAGGAGATTGGAATAAATGGAGTTATTCGAAAACCAGTGCTATTACAAGAAATTGCCGTTGAGCTTCGAAAAGTCCTGATGCAGGCAAACCAAGTTGTGTGATGACTCCTGCTTTAAGTTATGAATCAATATGCGGATAAACTAAGATGGCATCTTTGGCCCCTTCAATTTCCCGCCGAGCTTCCTTCATAGAGATGCTACACAACATTTACAGTCAAAAATGGTATACAAAGTTAGCTCCTTTACCTTTTCCCCCATTTAAAGCTCTTGTGCAATTGCATAGATAGCTTCAGATCTAATCAATAGTTTTTATTAGAATTTTCTTCAACACATCATTCTAATAAAATACATTACATGCACAATGCACAACTAGCTAGATAAAGTTATTGCCGATCTTATTACAGTTGTTAGAGCAGTCGGGAATGTACCCAGAGTTCTCTAGCATAGATGCAACTTGGCAATTGTAAGGCTGTACATTGTGTGCCTTTGAAAATGAACTGTTCACAGACAATTTAAAATATCTCTAGTTGAAAAATATTGCGAAACATATTTATAGAAATTTGTTCATCAGCATGCTTTGTTTCATGCTAGTTCTATCCGTTTGTCACAAATGAAATATCTGGTGGTTACATGATGTCTACTTGCATGTGGTATAGGCTAACAAGTGTAGTGTTAAGGAACAGTGTTTTGTGCTATTCCCTCTTTGATACTGGTACGAAACTGCTACTCACCATGGAAAAGTTGACATGCTTGGAAGAATTATAATCTTCGCAAGTTTCAAAGCTTTAAATTCAAAGGGATACATAGCATGCGCTGCAAGTAAACGTATTCTGGTTTCTTATCTCCCATTGCACCAGGGTTTAAGAAAAATATAGTGTAACAAAGAGCATGCGAATTGCGATGGAAAGATGGAATATGTGAAAATATTTAGTTATGCGTTCCTACCAAGATGGCAAAGTCATTTGCCTTGCACCTTACGCGTCAGCCAACCAGCAATTATTTCGTGCCCAAAGCCACTGAAACAATGACTGGAAACAATGAACCTGCAATCCTTTTTGTTAAAGGCCGTAGCACAAAAAAGTTAAATAAATCTAGGATACCTAACTCGTGTCATGTCAGCAAGTGAGAGATATTTCAATCAGTACTTGCTAATGGATCTGGACGCCTGGAAGTTGCGTCTAGTTTTCATTGGCCCGACGATCCGCAACTAAATTCTTTTGAATCCAGTTTCCATTATCGTTTGAGTATTAACCCATCCAGTTTCTGATCTTCCCAATGCATCAAAAATTCTGACTCAGATGATTTCTTAAGGTATTAGTGGAAAGGGTTACCCATTTTTTAGTGTTCGAAACAACAAAATAATTTACTATTATTCCTATAGTTTTGAACCACACTTTCTTTTTATTACTGAGGCTTCAACTTTTAAGCGTTGGAAGGATTCCCATGGCACTCTTTCCCATCGCGGTGGAGTGCTAAAACTGCTCGCATAGGATATTTCCATGGCATTCTTTTCCACGGTGGAGTGGCAAAACTGCATTGGATATCTCATCAAGCTTCTAAATGAAATTTAATAATCACGAGACGAAGTTTTTTATATTGTTTCAAGGACTTACTTAGCTGGCAAAAATGGGCATGTTGTTTATGTTTCATTTATTAATCACATCTTGAATTGGATTTAAAGATTTTAGAAGATTGTTTTATTGAATTTGGAAGAAATTAAAAGAAACAGAAATGATGTGAATTTATGTGCCTTTCCAAAAAAAAAAAAAGTTCCCTGTTGCGTTGAGAAAGTGGGAAAAAGGAAATGATGGGAGAGTATGGATCAATTTAGCAATAGCTTTTGCTGTTGTTTCTTTGCCTTCCAAGTTCATGCATGAACCTCAGTACGTATATACACTCATTTTCTTCAAATATTTCTCTTTACTTTCTCTATTTTTATTGTGGTTTCAAAAACTTAATGCCACCTGGACCACTTGTTATCCCTAAAAACCCCAACCCTACAGATCTGAGACCCAAGATTTATTTGGCCTATAACTCTACGCCATACAAAATTTCCATCCGGGTTATGATTATTTTATTGATTTGGAAGGACTTGACCTTTTGGAATTTGACCATTTCCCCCAAAAAATCCTTCCACTGGCTGGCCGTCGCTTTTGCCTATTCCTATCCCTATCCCTGTCAACTCTGTTGCAGGTTCTTGGAATCAGTATTAAGCTGGTGGCTCACTCCACAGTCAACAATCATGGTTAGGTAAAACAATGGCTTGGTTCTTTTCAAACATTAACTTGATTGTAATTTGCACCTATGGCATGTAAGTTCTCCCCCTTTATCTTAACTTTTGTTTCCTTCATTATTTCCTTTCTAATGGCTGCTAATTTATCATTCTTCAAACTTTAGATTTTTTTTTTTTGGGTGTGAGAGATTTGTGGTTTTCATTTGTTTTTTTGAAATTGACTAATTAATATCAATTTATCAAGAAGAAAACAACCGGTTGTATTATTTTAAAGACACAGGAAAAAATAATGAAGACTGAATGAAGATTTTTATTTTTTAAACATAAAAAATCGTAATATAAAAATATAAAATGATTATATATGTTAAAATTTAAAATTTTAATTTATTAAATATTATTGATTATGTAATTACATAGTCAAAATCATATGATTTTTATACGCAATTTATGAATCTCGTCAAGTTCGATTCCTTGTCCAAGGAGTGTTCATCATATTTGAAGCCAAAACCAAAAGAAAAAAAAGAAAAAAAAAAGGAGGACCCACTCTATAATTCTAGTCTTCCTCGGTTCCTCTATAATTTTATGATCTTTGAACAAGAACTTTGAGCGGTGTCTCTTGGAAGGTGGCAAATCATAATGAAGCTGATAGCATTGGTTCTTGGAATATCCAAGGCATATGATTTCAGGACCAACAAACAACCTGGTCAAACAAAGATCATATATTAATATAATGGATCTGATCAGTACTACATTATGGCACAACTTGTCTTTATATTTTATTGCTCAGAATACCAAGTTGGAATATGACTTTATAACAGCTGGTGAAAAGTGTTGTGCCAGGGGCTCTGCACCTTCACCCCCCAGAAAAGAAAAAAACAATTGGTTTGGTCTTTTGATGGAAGCTTGATTGATGGCCTGCCATACTATGGGCCAAAGAAAGTACTGTAAAATAATAAATAAGTCTAAATTTGCTTTGGGTTATAGATTAAGGATTGGCATGACTTTCTAATTTTGAAGTTTAATAACTTATTATTTTTTTTGTTGCTTTTGTACATGTATTAATCTAATTATGTTATGGCCTCATCCATCTAAGCATAGAAAAGAGCAAAGTACAAACCTATAATGGAAGTTTGAATTTAATATTAATAAAAAGATATCGGAATAGAAAAGCAGCTCTTGTCCCAATGGGGTTAACTTTTAGTAAATTCTTTTTCAATACCAAAAATTAGGTTTGCTCAATTGAGAAACTTTGGACTTTGCTGTCTACATGTGGGATTAATTAATTAACCTCTTTAATTAATTATTAATTACCTAATAACAAGGCTAGGATCTAGGGGCCATGTTTACAAAAAAAAAAAAGGCAAAAATGATTAGTTTATAATTTCAACTATGATTCAATCAACAAAAATTAAAAATTGATTTGGCTTATAAAATTTAAATTTAAATTTCATTGTCAATAATTTTTAATAAATTATTTTTTTTATGATAGATTTTAACTTTGAAATGGAGTAATATTCACTGACCTAAAGTTTTATGTAAAAAAAAAAGAAAAATTTTAGTTTAAACCAAAGAATAAGATTTAGTAATTTGCCCACGGTTTTTCTTCATTAGTATTCCATAAGTGAATGGTTAGACTTGTATTAAAAGGTCAAAAAGGAAAATATATGTAATTGTTTTTTCTTAACTATATATAATTTAAGTTAGGGTTGTACATTTCTAACAACAAAATTTAGCCACATTTATAAATTTAATTGCACTATACAAATTTTGAGTAATATTATGAATAAAAAATATCATAAAGGTTGTATTTGTGTACATTAGCAAAATACCCTAAATCCTAAACCTTAAAAAAATTTAAATAGCTGCAATTTTAAATTTTAGCTACATAAAAAGATGTATTGCATTAATTAATGAAGTATAATAAAAAAAATCAAATTTGTTGTTGTGCCTTGTTTTATTTATTTATTTATTTATTTATCCCTCGGTTGTTTGTATATTTGGTTTTGCTCCTACCAAAATCAAAAGCAATTAATCTCTTAATACAAAAGAGGTTAATATTAAGAAATTTGAGCATAGAGAATTTGTAAATGCAGGATCAAATTTCAATTGTGTTGGAATTAATTCTTCAAGAAGATGGATAATTTGAAGTAAGCCTCAGGTTTCAAGTAAATTTCTTTTATCCTATAAATTTTTATTCCTAGTAAGAAATCTGAATATAAAAAATTATAATGTCTATGAGTGTAATCAAGTTGTGTGAAGTCGGTAAATGTCTAGATATTATTTTTTTTCATTTATTTATTTATACATATTTAATAAATTAAAATATATTTAAAAAAAAAAATCTTTATGAACTTCTCAAATCAAATATTAAAATATTTAAACTTGATTCAATTAGTTATTTTAATAGCTTAAGTTTAACTCGTTAATAAAAGAGTCAAATTCTAATATTCATTGAGTTTAGTTTGAGTGATTCATGAGTAACTTAGACTTGTTTATATCCCTATTACTAATTATATATTAAATAATTTTACAAAAAAAAAAAGAAAATAATGTACAAGATAAATACTAAGAAAAAATTAAAAAATGATTCAAAATTTTAGTATTTGATTCAGTTTGAATCATATTTTTTTTCTATTTTATTCGAGTTTGGTTAGAATATTAAGTGTTTCAGTTTGATTCGGTTTTTATATTTAAAAGAAAATTTTGAAAATACTCTAATTGAATTATATTTTTTTATTAATTTTATAGTTTTTAAATTTGACAAATTATTTCATCTATTGTTGGTGAAGTTTGTATGCTACACAAACGAGATTGTAGGATAACACATATTCTTTAAAGTATATTTAAAAAAGAAAAAAATTAATTAAAAAAAAGAAATAAGAGGTATGTTAATCTCTAAATTTCAATTGTGTAATTAAAAAATTACAATGACAATGGATGAAATAATTTATCATCTCTTTACAATTTGTAAAATAAAGTAATTATTTTTATATAAAAATATATTTATTTTGAGGAGAGATCAACTTGCACTTACATCTTTTTTTAATTATTAATTTGAATAAATATGAGGGATGAGATTAAATAAATTTTTTTAGCTTATCTTTTTTATCTTTTATATTTATTGAAATCAATGATTAAAAAAATATATAAAAACTTTTTAATTTTACACTAATATAAAATTGATTTTATTCCAAAATAATATTAAATAATCACAAAGTTAAAAAATATAATTTTAAAACTCGATGAATAGAATTGATAAAAATTGATTTGAATAAATTTAATTTTAAAAAATCCAATTCAAGTTCTAATCGATTTTTAAAATTCTAAAATATTATGAA